TAAAATCCTAGTGGAGACAGAGCATGGGGTAGTTTCACCTCAGTGTGGCTGCTTAAGGTAAACACTGGTGGGGAGGGTCTCAAGTTTGCCTCAACCAGCTACATCAAGGAAAAACTACCCTGTGCCTTGTCTCCACTAGGAATTATCAGTGAGTTATTCTGAGTCAGATTTGGCATTGTAAACACCACCCCTTTTCTCCTAGTGACTATACAACACTGATTTCATTTTCCATGATCTTTTGTAGAGTGGGATGGACTCATAAGTTTTTTTTTTTTTTTTCTCTTGGCTGGGCTGCTCACAAAAGAGTGGTGATCCTTTGGGACCCAAGTTTATTTTTGGTTCCTCACACATTTGTGTGTGAGGTACTACTGCTACTTGCATTCCTTACAGGGCACACCATGCAGGATGGCTCAGGAATCTACTTTTACTGGACTGACTCTCAATTAACTTCTCCCTCTTCAGACTTGCAGCTGGCCCAGGAGCAGCAAGCATCTGGGGTTAGGACAGTGCCAGGATGCAGCCTCTAGGACCCAATCAGTGACAACTGAAGTCAATTAAAAGAATTCTATTGACTTCAGTGGGTTTTGTCTCTATTCCTACGGAGGAACCAAGAGACCACATGCGCATGTATACATGCAGCCAAGTCACTAAAAACCCAGTTGTGCACAAAGCATGCAGTTGTGTAATTATTCAATTTGTATATGAAGATGCCTGGGTTTGGGGCCCCAAATGGATGTATGTGTAAATTATACAGATGCAAAAAGGTCAGATTTGCAAAGTACCTCCAAAAAGGCATCTTAATTTTGCCAAATCCTATAATTTTTTTAATAACCAATGAATTAGGAGAATTGTAACTCTATTTGTGTATTTTGGCTTGTAAGTCATCCAGTCATGAGAACACAGAAATTCAAACTGAAAATAAAATACAACATTCCTAGATGACAGGTTTCAGAGTAGCAGCCGTGTTAGTCTGTATTCACAAAAAGAAAAGGAGTACTTGTGACACCTTGGAGACTAACAAATTTATTTGAGCATAAGCTTTCGTGAGCTACAGCTCACTTCATCGGATGCATTCAGTGGAAAATACAGTGGGGAGATTTGTATACACAGAGAACATGAAACAATGGGTGTTACCATACACACTGTAATGAGTGATCACTTAAGGTGAGCTATTACCAGCAGGAGAGCGGGGGGGGGAACGCCTTTTGTAGTGATAATCAAGGTGGGCCATTTCCAGCAGTTGACAAGAACATCTGAGGAACAGTGCAGGATGGGTGGGGGGAATAAACAAGGGAAAATAGTTTTACTTTGTGTAATGACCCATCCACTCCCAGTCTCTATTCAAGCCTAAGTTAATTTAATTCCAGTTCAGCAGCCTCTCGTTGGAGACTGGTTTTGAAGTTTTTTGTTGAAGAATTGCAACTTTTAGGTCTGTAATCGAGTGACCAAAGAGATTGAAGTGTTCTCCGACTGGTTTTTGAATGTTATAATTCTTGACATCTGATTTGTGTCCATTTATTTTTATGTAGAGACTGTCCAGTTTGAAGAGGGGCATTGCTGGTACATGATGGCATATATCACATTGGTAGATGTGCAGGTGAACGAGCCTCTGCTAGTGTGGTGGCTGTGATTAGGCCCTATGATGGGGTCCCCTGAATAGATGTGGGCACAGTTGGCAACAGGCTTTGTTGCAAGGATAGGTTTCTGACTTAGTGGTTCTGTTGTGTGGGGTGTGGTTGCTGGTGAGTATTTGCTTCAGGTTGGGGGGCTGTCTGTAAGCAAGGACTGGCCTGTCTCCCAAGGTCTGTGAGAAGTGTCTCCATCTCTCTGTACTAAAGTACTCTTCCCAATTAAATAACTAGGGAAAGTCACATTGGAAGTGCTCAAAGAACAGAATTGCTCTGTTCATGTACTCAGGCTTCCAGAAGCTATGGGCTTGGTGCATGAATTGCTAGGTGACATTTTATGATCTATGTTGTGCGAGATGTCAGACTAGATGGTCATAATGGCTCTTTCTGGCCTTAAAATGTATCAGTCTTTTAGGAAAATGGGGTTCTGACTATGCTTTCAGATACATCGGTATAAATTAGCAGTAACCACTGAAGTCACCAGTGTAAGCAAGACCAGAAGTGCCCTTCTTATACCTGTGTGAACTCACCAGTGTAAGCAAGATCAGAATCTTATACCTAGTGAAACTGCACTAGAAACTGAACAGAACAGTTCCATCCTCACTGTTATCATAAAATGACATGAGGAGCAGTGTTCAAGACTAAAAATTTCATCAAAGGTTTCCCTGGAGAGATAGCAAGACCCTTGCAGGAAGGAAGTTACTTTTATTGAAGATATTTTAAAGTACCTGTGGTTCTACATCCTGGGGAATTGGAAGACTTGGGGTAAACAGTCTTGTTGTGAAACATGCCTTATGCTTCTTAAACCTTAAAACATGAGGGAGAAACACCTTTACTGTTTTGATCAGCTTGCTTGGATCTTGGAATTCCTGAGGCAGATTAATACCCAACAGTAAAGAAACACAGCTCTTAATACACTGAATTGTGTTTTAATTGGAATGCAGTACCAGGCTATAGATAGACAAGAAAGGAGTTTTAGCCCTTTTTGCTATCCCCAACTTCCCTATCTTTGGAGGGGTAGCTGTGTTAGTCTGGATCTGTATATGCCGCTTTTCCCTATCTTCCTTTCTCCAGATTCCTGTTCTGCCTTCCTTTACCATTGTTACATGACAAAGAATCCCAGGAAGAGTTGCTTTCTTGAAACACTGCTTTATTTTAATAAGGAAAACAGAACAACCCTTAAAACTACTCTCTCTGAATTTTTCCTATAACCTGCCGCAGCCCTCTCCTACCTGGTTTCCTGCTACAGATTTAATGAAACACTAAATATATCCTCTCTCGCCCCTTCTTTCTCACTAAAATGTCCTAGCTTCTAAGATGAGGAACATTCTACTTGGAAATTTACCATATTTTCCTTCTCCCCTCCCCATCCAATTGTTAACTTCTTCCCTTAGGTTTGTTCGTACCCTATACTGACTGGATTGCTCATGAAAGAGGTTGTACTGATAATCTGGGAAACCAGACTTCTGTCTACAGAACAATTACAGTGCTGCCAATTCCTGCAATTTTATTGCAAGTCTTTTGGTATTTAGTGTTGTTCTTGGGGCCTCATCTCCAAGAGTCATGTAATTACTTGAGAATCTAAGAGTTAGTTAAAAACCAAGTTGGTTTCTAGGCCTCATAGCTATGGAGAAAAGGTGACCTGAGTGCACCAAAAGTTTCAAACAAGATAAAGAGAAAAATCCTTAGTGATTTTTAAAAAAATCTTAGTGCTTTTAAGCCAATGTCAGGGGGCTAATTTATGATTTTGGAGCATTTGGGGTAGCAATACTGCAATTACATTGGAGACAGCTGCCATGGAAGCTTTCCCCTACTGCTGTACCTTAATCTTGTTCAGAAAGGAACATGTTTAGGGGCAAAAGTAGTTCAGCCCCCATACCAATTCAATCCTCTGTCTCTCTGCTGGCAAAGCTGACAGAGGTGCTAACAGATGTCAGATATGCAGGTGATTTCCATAACACAGACAGCTGTCTAGCAAAGAGAAGACTTCCCTATTCTACAGCTTCTTGTGGTATCTAGAAATTAGCTTCACTCACCCACTTCCTTTACTCTGCCTCTGTGTCCCTTGTACACAGTCATCTGTCATGGTTAGAAGTCAAGCTAAAATCCTAGAAATTGGAGATGGCAAAGACTTCATAGGTAACTTTGCATACCCCTTAGCCAATACAGACTTGCTCCCAACTGCAAGTTCAGTCTAATTTTTAAAGATTCAAGCAAAAGAATTTCTATCATTTCCTTTGGGATTCTATTCCACAATTTAATAGCTATTCCTGATATAAAATTTTATTCAACTCACATTTTTCTTTGTTCATTTGCATCTGATTTCTTAGTTATGCTTGCTTGGACTAATCCAAACAATTCCTCCCAAACCTTGCTATTCCTACCTTTTAAGCACTATGATGTCCTGGCTAACTTCCAACTTTGGTAACTAAATTCAAACTACTGCTGTTTCAGTTGGTGCTTCCCTTCTCTTACTAAAAATAGTTGTGCAGTGTTGTATGGTTAGCACATGGGTCATACCAGAAGTGGCTGCATTTCAGTGGTGAATTACTAATATCAATGGCCACAGTTGTAGGGATCTTACCTTGCTCTACCAGTATTCATACTGATTTCAGGGGGAGCACTCAGATGGGTATTAATCAACATGAGTAAGGATTGCAGAATCAGGGCCTCTGTACTATGCACAGAATATACTCTCTCTACTATTTACCCACATTTAAAGACCATTGGGTTCCTTCAGAATGAAACTACGTTATACATTATTTTTTGTATATATTAGACCAATTGTATGTAAACAAAATCTTTAAGCAATGCAATTTTCTTTTCCCCTGTAAACCCAACCATGGACATCCTCCTCCTAATGCATAGCTATTAGCTTTGCTTCAACATGTGCAAACATGAGAGCTGAGTTCACTATTGTTTCTCCAAAGTTTTGGCAGGTATTTTGTCAGTTCCCTAATGATTTTGACAGCTGGTAGCCTTTTTTGCAAAGCCTTTTATAACAGGCCCTAAATATGTGTAGATCTTCATTAATGCTGTAGTTGCTCCCAGAGAGAGTTATCTGTCAAACATAGTTTCCTGTTGTACAAAAGGTATTGCTTTCTAGCTAGTGACACAGCACTTATTAGACCTGAGATTTCTGACAGGCATCTGCTAATGAAAAGAGAACATGGTGAGTAACTATTCAAAAAACAGATCTCTAGGGAGGTAGTATAGGATATCCGGAATAAACATCCAGTAGCTAACACTAAAAGTTGTGTATGTGGCAGCTCTGTAAATCACAGAGGACTACATCAGGCCATTGCAAAGGGACAAAATGGTACCATAAAATAAACCAGACATCAGCTACTAGCTGCTGATTTATGGATAAACCAAATCTACTGAAAGATTTTTTGCAAAGAAAATATCTTTTCTTTTACCTTCACAAGTCTTCTGTGGGCTCCTCTGCTGCCCCCTGATGGCACTGTAAAACCCTGCAATTGCTGGGTTAAGGAGCAAGCTGAATGTGGGAGTGTAGGAAATAATTATAATCCATTCTCCTCACAACTAGAAACAGCAGAGTTGCTGCCTGGCTGCAGCAGAGGAGTTTGAGTAGTGATAGAGAGAAGGTGTGTGCAACAGAGAGAAAGAGATGGAATGAAAAGAAGCCAAGATCACTTAAAGCCAGCTAACTGAAAGCAGAGTCCCTGGAAGCTGAGCATGACTATAGTGTAACACAGGATCTGACTTTCACAATATACTTTTATTGAAGAATCTATTTTGTGGTTTCTCATTTCAGACTTCCATTGGTTTAACAAGGTGAGTTAAGAGAGCACATAAGTTCTTTCAGGTATGAGATTCATTGGAAAGATGCTGATTTGCCAGGAATGTTTGCATAATAAAGGACAATGTAGCATTTTGTACTTTGTCAGGAAGAAATGGACTGCAAAACCAGTATGGTAGAAATGGTTTTCTGAATATTTAAAAAATCCTCAATCTGTGCAGTGAGATGAACGTGTTTCTGTTGCTGAAGGATTTGGGGTCTTGGGGCAAAGCTATCTGAGCTATCAGGAATTATAGATCTACAGTGCAGTGGACTGAGAATTTAGAGTCTTCCTGTTTTATTCCTCAACAGTGTGAGGTGTTTGGAATTGATTGAAAGTGCAGCTTATTTTGTGCAGCCAAAGTATATTTTGAGCAATCAAATAATAGAAGACCAATTTGGACTCTGTTCTTTAATTGGATAACTAGTGATGGAAACATTGTAAAGGGGGGTTTATGAATGTGGAGGGGTCAGGCGTGCTCACAGGAGGGAGGATCATTCTTATTTTGGTGAACACAACTCTGAAAATGTAAGGTTAGGACAGAAACCAACAGCAGCAAACCAGTTCAAAGTTAAAGCTACCCAGGGCTGAGAGTGGACTGGGCTGGGTTTACAGATGGGTCTGAGCTACAGAGACTTTTCATTACTGCCTGGAGGAATAAGGGACAGAGTTTTAAAACAAGGGGAGCAATATCTGAGAAAGTGTTAGCGTGTCATGAGTTTGCTGTAGTTCGAGCCACCCCTGAAGCCAACATTCTGGGGCAACTCTGGCCCCTCTCCATCGGCTCAGCTGGCACAAAAGGAAGAGGGACTGGAGCAGGTCAGCTGTGCTGAGACTGAGCAGGATGTGGAGAGAGAATATATCCCCTGGAGCTCTGCTCTATGGATTCCATCTCTGCTATCACATGGGAACAGCAGACCAGGGAGTGACCAAAGGATCTGCAGCTATGTTAGGTCCACCGGCCAAATTTCCTCATATAGGGCCATGCAGCTGCTTTGACAGCTACTGTAACCATCCCCATGGTGGCTGAATAACTTGTCCTGTTGATTCGAGATGCTCTCCCTTACACCTGTGCAGCACAAGAATAATTCCATTTGAGTCAATGAAGTGACACCAGCATAAAACTGAGGTAAGGAGGATCACAGTGTGGGCCTTTGTCTCTAACTTTACCCAGTTGTGTCTGGGTTTTTCATTACCTGTGGTACTGTGTGTACCATCAGGTGACTTTCTGAGACCCCCTGCAATATCTCTTGTGGGCAAAATGAGGGTGCCTATCTGCATTACTTTAGCATTCTATAAGCCTCTCCACTCTGCATTGATTCAGTGTAGTTTTTAGTGGTCATTTAAATTTTAATTTCTTGTAATGGCAGTTTTCCAAAGGAAATTATCCCTCAATTTGCCTGGCAACTGAGTTGCTCCTTCACATCTATTATTACTAATACATACTGTAAATGCTTTTGTCCTTAATACGCATTACAATCCTGCAGAGAGGAGTCTTTTGGCATGTTTACCCATAGACTTTATAGCACTTTCCAAAGTAGATCAATCATACGGGTTTCAGATCCAACCTGATAAATGGGTGCATATCACCTGTAATCTGGTGAAATTATCTAGAGGTTATGTGCTTATGCCCTGTTGCGTGTGTACCTATGAAACCACCATGCCTTTTGCTTTCTTAATACTATGTCTTTACATTTTTTTAAAAACTCTCCCTCTGGGCAGAACTCAGTTTTAGCCATGTAATAGGATGGCTGTAGTTGCTGAGGCCAGCCACTAGAAGGAGAAATGATCACACATACTGAGTCTCATGGGTAGCCGTGTTAGTCTGTATCCATAAAAACAACAAGGAGTCCGGTGGCACCTTAAAGACTAACAGATTTATTTGGGCATAAGCTTTCTGCATCTGAAGAAAGATTTATTTGGGCATAAGCTTTTGTGGGTAAAAAAACACTTCAGATGCAGAAAGCTTATGCCCAAATAAATCTGTTAGTCTTTAAGGTATCACCAGACTCCTTTTGTTTGATATTCAGAGGTGGGGTTGTTTTTTTTGTTTTTGTTTTTAATTTAATGCATTGTAAAGGATAGGTTAAGTAGTTTTTGCTAAAACTACAACTATAAATGTATTTTCTGTTTGCATTGTCTGCTTTTAAAAAAATAAAAATATTGGGTGTTTATATTCTCATAATGGCCAAAGTGATTTAATGAGACCATTTTATGGATGTCACTAGCCATGTCTCGTTTCTAAAAGCAAGGTCTACTTTTGGATTGTTCAGGAATAAAACTTACAACCAATGCCCTCAATTTAATCCATCCTTTTCTACATTTAAAACAGACCTCTCATTTGGTTTTATAAAAGTATATACTTTGGTAAAGAGTTAATAAGTCTTTTGCTCTGCATTGTTTTGAGCCAGGGGTCTTGCTAGCATTTTGAAAATTGTATACAACCTACCACTACAACATTGTTACCTCCACCCACCTTTGCCCACTAAGTGCACTTCATTGCCAGTTTCTTTCATTTAAAAACCTGTCCATTGTTGCAGTCCAAAAGCACAATATTTCTTCTTCAGAAGTATCTTTGAGCCAGGATGGTTTAGTGGCATGCTGAGTGTGAGGGGAGAGGGCATGGAGTGAACTCCCCCAGAATCAGGTCACTTCTGACTAGCCATCTTATTGTGGCCAAATGAAGAGTCAGCTTTTGCCAACAGGTACCATACAGCATTTTCTGAGATAAAACAGTAGCGTCCTCTGAGAGTGGAGGAAGGGTGGTAACACAGATACAACTGTGTAAAAATTGCTGGCAAATGACTTTTTAAATGTATCCCCTTTTATTTATTATGGACACCGATTTTACTCTTTTAAAAATCACTGTCTTAATGGTGGCCTTGATCCTGCACAGTGCAGACAGGGAGCGTAGTACAGAGTATAAAGACACGAGCAAGACTGGAAGTGCAGGGGGAGCTGATCCTGCATGAACGAAAGCTCTGCTGTCTGGCTGCCAGAATGCTCCTGACTAATAGCAGCAGCAAGGCCAAAGGGGAGCAGTTAGCAAAGTGCCGTGTTTGCACTCTGTGGATGGCACTGAATTCCTCTTTTTCAGACACACCCAGTTGTGCACCCCCCACATCACTCCCCATTTTTGCCATGCATGCTACTCTTTTTCTATACAGTCTCCTCTTACACCCATGTCACACAGTTGATTTCAGTGGCATTATTCCTGATTTACACCAGTGTAATGTGAGAGGTGAATCAAGCCTATAACATTCGGTTTGTAGTGGGGTTAGATTTGCTAGTATGCTCTGGCTACTTGGTTCTGCTCCAGCAATCTGGGTGTGCGGCTGCTTTGGGTGGCTGGGGTAGGTGCAAAGCTGCTAAAGCAAAGCAGTGAATCTGACCCATTGTTTCTAGTTCATTAATAAGTTGTTTTTATTGTAATACCCTTATTATTTCTATATCTCTAGATTTACACCAGACAGTGATCACCAATGGCTGCTGGCCTGGAGAAAGCTTGTCACCGGTGCATATCTAAAATTGCTAGCAATGGTAAGTCACAGCTGTAGAAATAATCACCTTCTATTACTTAAACGGCCCTGTGGTTACTACAGTTAGAAAAATGGGCTAATACCAAGTTCATTACAAGTTAAGGGCATGAGAGTTTAGGCAGCCGTACCACCTTCTGCTATGATCTCACCAGAACTGACAAACTAAGGGCCTGACCCAAAACCCAGATAAGTCAATGGAGGCTCTGGGCATAGGATCAAGCCCAAATGGTCTACTCCTGCCTGTTGTGGAATAATGACAACTCCTACCTAAATCAATTAGCACCTCACAGGAGGGACTCAGCATGCTGCGAGATTGGGTCCTAAACACAGGTGGTCCTGGTCCTTACATAGATGGGAGAATGTCAAACTTCTGATTCTGCCTTCTGAGTCAACACTAAACCAACATACCAGCATGGTGTTAAGAGGCACATTGGTACTCCAGATGTGATTGTAAAACTGAGGTCTGGGTATGGAAGATCCCATGGCCACACAAGGCATATTAACTCTAGTGTCCTGGTCAAATTACATATTATAAATACATTCTGCCTAACTAATTTCCCCCTACAATTTCCATTGGATGCAGTACTTTTCTTCCCGGGCTGAAGTATTGTTGTTTGTGTCTGTTTTAGAGAGACAGATTGACTGACAGACGTTCTAACAGTTGTATGTATAAAGCACTCCCCTGCTGTGGTGCTTGCATGGAAATCAAAATCACCTTAACACTTTACAATGTACTGCACTGAAGAGCCATATCTAATGTAATTCTTTTCAAATGGGGTCCTACACATGATTTGCTGTAGATTTACAATGGAGAACACCTATAAAAAATAGTCCAGGTCGACATCTTGTGGGAATGAATCTCCTACCCTGTGACTTCCCCATAGCAAAATCACAACCAGCTTTTGATCCAAAGTACAATGACCAGACTCCCAAAAAATCACATATTGGACTCAAACACCTGCCAGGACAAGTCTCTCTTAAATCGTAAGCTCTTTGGGAAAGGGACCATCTGTTGGCTCCATGTTTGAGCCACACCTGGCACAATGTGGTTCTGATCCATGTCTGGGGCTCCTAGGCCCTATGGTGATTTTACTAACACAAATGGAGGATTTCTCCAATATAGCCCTGTTGGTTTTAAAGCCTTTAATTGCATAGGCCCAGGCTATCTGTAAAATGGCAGAATGATTTTTAAGAGTGTCAAGGTAAAGATAAAGAATATGGAGGGGGGTATAATGTGATCTTTGCTGCTCCTGAGTCCTGTGAGCAGACATGCCACTGTGTTCTGTGCTAGCGACAAGTGGTGGACAAGCCCTGTCAAAAGCCATGGTAAGAGGGTGATCACAGGGTAAATAAGGTTGCACTTGTACATTTTATGAGAAATTTTTTCCTCACAGCATAAGACCCAACTCATGGCATGGGGGTGGCCAACAGGAAAACCAAATCCTTAACCTGGCTTCTGCTATGTCTCTGTGTGCTGTGCTCCAAATTCCTAGTGCCTTTACTTTAAACCAGGGGTCTCAAACTCAAATGACCACAAGGGCCACATGAGGACTAGGGCATTGGCCCGAGGGCTGCATCACTGACACCTCACATTGCTGCCCCTGGCCCCACCCCCCAGTCCACCCCTTCCATGAGGCCCTGCCTCACCTCTTTCTACCCCTTCCCTGCCCCCATTCCAAACCCTTCCCCAAAGTACTGGAGGAACCAACTAGGGGCAGAGTTCTTCCTGACCTTCTGCTCACAAACTGGGAAGAATTAGTAGGGGAAGCAAAAGTGGATGGGAACCTGGGAGGCAGTGACCATGAGATGGTCAAGTTCAGGATCCTGACACAAGGAATAAAGTAAAGCAGCAGAATACAGACCCTGGACTTCAGAAAAGCAGACTTTGACTCCCTCAGGGAGCTGATGGGCAAGATCCCCTGGGAGAATAACATGAGGGGGAAAGGAGTCCAGGAGAGCTGGCTGTATTTTAAAGAATCCTTATTGAGGTTACAGGGACAAACCATCCCAATGTATAGAAAGAATAGAAAATATGGCAGGCAACTGGCTTGGCTTAACAGTGAAATCCTTGCTGATCTTAAACACAAAAGAAGCTTACAAGAAGTGGAAGATTGGACAAATGACCAGGGATGAGTATAAAAATATTGCTCAGGCATGCAGGAGTGAAATCAGGAAGGCCAAATAACACCTGGAGTTGCAGCTAGCAAGAGATGTTAAGAGTAACAAGAAGGGTTTCTTCAGGTATGTTAGCAACAAGAAGAAAGTCAAGGAAAGTGTGGGCCCCTTACTGGATGAGGGAGGCAACCTAGTGACAGAGGATGTGGAAAAAGCTAATGTACTCAATGCTTTTTTTGCCTCTGTCTTCACAAACAAGGTCAGCTCCCAGACTACAGCACTGGGCAGCACAGCATGGGGAGGAGGTGACCAGCCCTCTGTGGAGAAAAGTGGTTTGGGACTATTTAGAAAAGCTGGATGTGCACAAGTCCATGGGGCCGGATGCATTGCATCCAAGAGTGCTAAAGGAGTTGGCAGATGTGATTGCAGAGCCATTGGCCATTATCTTTGAAAACTCATGGCGATCGGGGGGGGGTCCCGGACAACTGGAAAAAGGCAAATGTAGTGCCCATCCTTAAAAAAAGGGAAGGAGGAGGATCCTGGGAACTACAAGCCAGTCAGCCTCACCTCAGTCCCTGGAAAAATCATGGAGCAGGTCCTCAAGGAATCAATTCTGAAGCACGTAGAGGAGAGGAAAGTGATCAGGAACAGTCAGCATGGATTCACCAAGGGCAAGCCATGCCTGACTAATCTAATTGCCTTCTATGACAAGATAACTGGCTTGGTGGATGAAGGGAAAGCAGTGGACATGTTGTTCCTTGACTTTAGCAAAGCTTTTGACACGGTCACCCACAGTATTCTTGCCAGCAAGTTAAAGTATGGGCTGGATGAATGGACTATAAGGTGGATAGAAAGCTGACTAGATTGTCTGGCTCAACGGGTAGTGATCAATGGCTCCATGTCTAGTTGGCAGCGGGTATCAAGTGGAGTGCCCCAAGGGTCAGTCCTGGGGCCGGTTTTGTTCAATATCTTCATAAATGATCTGGAGGATGGTGTGGATTGCACCCTCAGCAAGTTTGCAGATGACACTAAACTGGGAGGAGAGGTAAATACGCTGAAGGGTAGGGATAGGATACAGAGGGACCTAGACAAATTAGAGGATTGGGCCAAAAGAAATCTGAAGTTCAACAAGGACAAGTGCAGAATCCTGCACTTAGGACAGAAGAATCCAATGCATTGCTACAGACCAGGGACCAAATGACTCGGCAGCAGTTCTGCAGAAAAGGACCTAGGGGTTACAGTGGATGAGAAGCTGGATATGAGTCAACAGTGTGCCCTTGTTGCCAAGAAGGCCAATGGCATTTTGGGATGTATAAGTAGGGGCATTGCCAGCAGATCAAGGGACGTGATCGTTCCCCTCTATTCGACATTGGTGAGGCCTCATCTGGAGTACTGTGTCCAGTTTTGGGCCCCACACTACAAGAAGGATGTGAAAAAATTGGAAAGCATCCAGCGGAGGGCAACAAAAATGATTAGGTGACTGGAACACATGACTTATGAGGAGAGGTTGAGGGAACTGGGATTGTTTAGTCTACGGAAGAGAAGAATGAGGGGGGATTTGATAGCTGCTTTCAACTACCTGAAAGGGGGTTCCAAAGAGGATGGCTCTAGACTGTTCTCCATGGTAGCAGATGACAGAACAAGGAGTAATGGTCTCAAGTTGCAGTGGAGGAGATTTAGGTTGGATATTAGGAAAAACTTTTTCACTAGGAGGGTGGTGAAACACTGGAATGGGTTACCTAGGGAGGTGGTGGAATCTCCTTCCTTAGAAGTTTTTAAGGTCAGGCTTGAGAGAGCCCTGGCTGGGATGATTTAGTTGGGGATCAGTCCTGCTTTGAGCAGGGGGTTGGACTAGATGACCTCCTGAGGTCCCTTCCAACCCTGATATTCTGTGATTCTACTGCTACTCTAGCAAGAGCCCACACTGAATTTTAACTCCTCCCCTGAGGAGATACCAACTGCCTAGGTGAAAAACCCCACCAAGTTACGGAGGGCTGTCATCTAAGTAAGGGCCGGGCCAGGCCAGACTTGACCTAGGTCGTAAAATCTGACAAGATCCCACTCTGAGGAAATAGAACTGTAGGCACCATTGCTGAGTCAGATTCTCTGTTCCCATCTCTTCTCTTTGCATTGCTTCAGTGACACAAAGGGACTAGAAAGCAGAGACCCGTCCACACTGACTGGCTGAGGATTCACTTGGTGGGGACAGTCCCCAGCTCACATAGAGTTTCTATGTCACCCCCACCAATAAAGAGCATAAGAAGTAGTGAGGAGAGTGTCCAGAGCACTCTGTGCTCTGGCTTTGCTTATTTCATAAGTGGCTGCTTGGGAGCTATGAACATCTGGCACAGTTTAGAGAAGCCCCCAGACTGCTCTAAACTCCACCAGGGCAGTGGCTGGTTCAGAACTGCATCACGAAACAAGATGCTTCAGCAACCTGACAGCTCTCCACCTCTGTTGCCCCCTGCAGAAACCATGCACAGCAGAGAATCTTGGCCATTATTTTTACCCCTCTCTGGATTTCAGGACACACAGGGCGGAGGCAGTGTGTTGTCAGACTTCCATTCCGACCACAGAAACAATCAAAACGTTACTATTTTCTGCTGGTGGTCTAGTGCCACCAGGGCTTCAGGGGTGACTGATGGAATAAGTCACCCTTTTTAAAATTAAAAAATAGGTTTGATTCTAATCTCTCACATCCTGGCTTGAGTCAGGAGTAACACCACAGAAGTCAGTAAAGTTACCCCAGTGTAAAGCAGCTCAGAATCGGGCCCATTGCATTCTGGCACTGCGGTTGGGTTGTCAGACTTCCTCCATCTTTACTCTTCTAAGATGTGGCTTTTCTTTATATTTAAGTGCAAAACTCCACCCAATCTTAACTATGGG